TGCTGATGTGACAGAGTACCACATCAAACAGCTGAAGCCATCCACTTGCTACCAGGTTTGTGTTGAGGTCACTGCAGCACAGCCTGGATACAGCAGGCACTGTGTTAATGTGACCACAAGGGAGGTAGAGGTCCCACGGCAAAACACAGAGAACTGGGACAGTCTGGTGGTGGCTGCTTGTGCTGTGTTTTTAATCGCTGTTGCCGTGGCTTCTGGCGTCATCTGCACATCTCTCTACAGCCAGGTGTTTTACAGGAAGCTCATAGCAGGCCCGGTGCCCAGCACTCATTCCTCCTCTTCTTCTTTCCTGGGATTTGGTGGATCTGGGGTCAAAGTGAGGGCAACTGTAATAGACCTATCGGGTGACTCCATTTAAGACGTGTGTGCGTATCGTCAGTGCACTCTGGATTAGGATGGACACTGGTCAGTGTAATTTATGCGCCCACTTTTGATGATTTCTGATGGGACAGAGCAAAATTCATATATGTTTCCTTAATTGGCCAAAGGCAGAGACTTTTTTGTAGTTCAAACTTCTACCATTACAACAAGCTTACTCAGACAGATGTCTGACTTTGATCTACATGGCGACTGGTCATTCATGCAGTGCAACCAGAGCACAGCACAGGAGCCATTCTGTCGTGAATACCTTGTGGAGATGGGTTTGATGTCTGTGAAAAGCATTTTCTTTGCTGTCTTACATTAGATGGTGCCAATCAAAGATGGTTTATAATAGCAGAAAAACAGTTGTTAGTCTAGTGACAATAAAACCGACTATAATGTAAGCAGTTTTATGAACAAATAAATTTTTCATTCAACCTGTGTGGCATCTTTTCTCCTTAAACCTGGACACTTTCTCCAACAAACATCATTCAAATGTGTATTGCCATGAAAAACAGTTGTCTAGGAAATGCAAAATACTGATTTGTATGAATGAGACTCATGAACCTCATCATGTCCCTGCCTGAACCATAGCAGCACAAGTGTGAGATCTGCTATAGACAAACGGTCTCAACAGCACGAGCAGTGTGCGAGACCGATTGTGTGCGCGTACGTGTTTATGTACTTTACTAGGTGTGTGGGACACTGGAAAACCCATAAACTTTGAATTGCATTATATTCTCTTTCATTAAAAATCCAAAATGGATTCCAAACACAAACCTCCGCCAGGTGATGAATTGGTGTCACGCACAAACTGATGGGAGGCATTTATCAGTGGGACTCAGTCATAGATCAACCGAGTTTCAGCACATTGGATAGGCCTTTTAGAGCGTGGCCATTTGTCACCGCCACAGGAGTTAAAATATGACCCATTAGAGGCACGTAGCGAATAGGTCAGCAAGAACATGTCGCCCAAGCCGCCCCCTCCCCCGTGTGACCCTGGAGAGATGCTGCAGCCGTAGCAGGAACAGCTCAGCAACTCCTGGGCTCGTTTGTTAAGTGGTTGAGGGGGAAGGAGACGAATGGAACACAGAACCAGTACAAAGTAGTTCCAGTGCCAGACAGGACAGGGGGACAGCACCTGATGCCTCGTTGTGCTTATGTTACTGATGTGCTGTACACGATTATCCAGGCCTGGCTTTATTAGAACCTGCTGCTTCAGTACTGACGAGTCTTCTGGGTGTTTAGCAGAACAACTGCACGACAGAGGCAGGGTTTTAGAAAGGAGATGACAGGTTGTTCTAGACGCTTTTCGTTTTCAGCTGCTTTCTCACCTATGCTACTGGGTTCACCCCCACTGAGAGGAGCACACACAGCAAATCTAAATAAGGTGATCTCATTAAACTTTGTGAAAAAACAAAACAAAAATAAAGGTAAAAAGCTCTTCACGAGGGTGCAGACAATGTGTTGTGGCAGATCCGGGGAATCAAACAGTATCAACATGGACTAGCAGGTTAAATTACATCCACCATCCCCCCATGATCCTGAAATTAGGACTCAAAATGCCACGCAAACCTAAACAATGTCGCTTGTACCCTCTCAAGGTCACAAAGATGATTATGCCCCACAGCACTTAACTGTTGGACCAAAAAAAAAAATCTACATAATGGCAACTGAGCGGCTCCGAGAGGAGCAGCGGGAGTGCATGTGTAAGGAGAGTCTGGATTATGCCCCACAGCACTTAACTGTTGGACCAAAAAAAAAAATCTACATAATGGCAACTGAGCTGCTCCGAGAGGAGCAGCGGGAGTGCATGTGTAAGGAGTGTCTGGAGGATACATGAGGGGCGGATGGGGGCGTTAATAAAACCAGAAGAGAATCATTTGAGGCACATGAGGGAGCGCTATACATTTCAGCACAATCCGTCTTCTGTGGAAACTTTTAAAGTTATTTTTTAGGCTTTTACTATTATAGGTACAGCTCGTAGCAGAGAGGTGGGCAGGAAACAGAGACAGAGGAGACAACCTGTGACATACAGTAGGTTGGCGGCAGGACTCAAACCACAAACGTTGTGCATGCTCTTGTGCTTGCGTATATGGTGTGCTGCATAGCAACCATTTGGCTATTGGGACAATTTGCAGAGCAGATGCTAATATCAGTAGTGTAAAGGTGAATATTTTGGCCTGATGGTGGCGCTAGACTAAAGATAAAGAAATCCCACAACCATTAGGAATCATCCTCAGGTGACCATGATACCCAAACAATTTTAAGGTGGTGTATAGTATTGGGGCAGACAGAATAACAGGCCACCAACATCAGCGCTGTCAGACACCAGCACTTGTGTTGCTAGAGTTCAGTGAGCACGTTTGTCAGTGAACTGAGAGGCTGCAGTTCTTATTGTACAGAACCCCAAAGGTTCTGTCTGGCAGGCTGAGTGAGCATGTGCAATTAAAAAGTCCAAGTTCAAAGGGACAATTTCCATGCAGAGTGTTAAAACTTCCTGCCACGTTGAAGCTGCAGTATGTTTGAGAAATAAAACAAAGGTGGCGCTAGAGTGGTGATGACAGACTGCTTTGGATTTGAGTCAATGCTGTAAGAGAGGAAGATCAGAAACTCATCTGTCGTGGCTAGAATGTGATACAGACTAAATTAATTCAGACAAATCATCCCAATTTAAATAATCATTTAATATTACAATTATTCTGAACAGAGTAGTAGTTAAATAGGTAATCTGGTAGTTAGGGAACAGAGAACAGAATCACTCCTCCTTCAATGGAATTGATACAGTATTAAATAAGAAGATTGTCACAGAGTCAGTCAGTCTTGGTCAGGGGTCCAGTCAGTCCTGAGTTTGTTCCCCCTACCCACCAGGCCTGGGTCTGTAAGAGCACACGGTTCACTGTCACAGCCTTCTTCTTCTCTACACCCCTCAGTCTCGCTGTTTTATCCACAGTTTTTCTCAGGCTGTTACATCAATTTCTGAACTTAGCTTCCTGTCTCCAGTTTTAGGAGACAACACCCTGAGGTGTACCCAAAAACAGGAAACATCTAGACCAAATTATATAAGCTCATTGTTCAGCTCACATGAACTTAAAAGTGAGCACACAAACACTCTGTTCCATTACATAATCCATATTAACATGTAACTTAAACCACTACACATCAAAGACTGAAGAACAAGCACAAGTACTGCAGGAAACTACAGAGAAGTGTTGGAAACACAATAAAACGGCAAGGAACAAGCCCAGCCGCTGAGCTTAATGAGCTCTGACTGCACGTTTAGTCCCAGCAGAATTATATCTGTAGTGGTTATATATTACTACATTACCAGTGTTTACCCATCACTCTCCCCCCATTTCATCTTATGCTAATAATCCATGGAAACAGCCTAACGGTCCCAGCTGAAGTGAGCGAATACCTCTCATTACAACGCTTCCACTTTTAACATGCCCCATTTCTCTGCTACATGTTAGGGGGTGAAATAAACTCAACGAGAGAGCAAACTATTTTTCTCATGAATTATTACTCCGTTGCAAACACTTAGAATTGAGGCCAGGCCCACAGCTTGTTGTCTGGGGTAAGTAAAACCAGAAAAGCCTCTCATTTATCTAGCTTTCCTCATGCAAAACCTCCTGGGCCTTAAGTGATTATTCTCCCACTCACCAGCCCATTAGGCTAAAACAACACTGCTGACTTTGGCTGATCTTCGAGCACAGCACTTGTTGACGTATTATTATTGTTGCATGATGGAGAGTCACAGATGGCGAGTGCACGCTTAACCTCTGCTGATAAGCCGAAGCAGATAGCAGTCAGTACAAGACAAGGTTATTTCCAGTAGGAAAGCAGGACCCATCCAGGCTGATTAACGACTCGCTCTGATTTATCCTGCCGTTCTCAGAAGCTCCCTGGTGGTTGGTTTTAATCTTTTCCAGGAAACATCCTGGTTTGTATTCGTCTAAATGCTGCCACTTGCAACATCTTTTGTTAGGGGCCCCAAAGGTTTCCTCATTTCCCTGACTGGGAATTTTCATACGACTCAACTTGAGTTGAATCATTTGTCAGGGCTGCATCAGTGAACTGAGACTGCAACATGTTTTATCTGCAGGGCTTTGGCATTATGCGCAGATCTTGTCAACATGTGATAAATGTTACTGCAAACTAACACCACAGTAAAGCTTAACCTTCAGGGAGGAACTCGTCCACTAGCCTGAGGCGAAGCAGAATGCGCAGTATGAAAGGGCCAGTGCCGTCTGGAGGAGCGGTTTCATGGAAGCTAAAGTCAGACTTATTTAAACAGAAAGAGCTCAACGTAAGCCCGGTTTAACTGGTAATCAGGCTCAGAGAGGACTTAACCACAGATATAAACATATCGCTCATCATCCGGCTGTGAGCTGCATCTCAGCTGCCGCCATGTTGCAGAAGGGGTTCGGTTCAAACAGCAGAGTCAGAGCTGCTTTTTCAGAAACAGCAACAAATAACATTTCACAGATGTCATCTTATATAGTTATTTTGCTTTTATGTAATTAGATGTTCTTATTTACTTTTATAATAATGTGAAATGCAAACATGAGAATTTGACATATTTCACTACAAATATACAGTAATTAAAAACACAAGCTTGACATCGATTTACTCTCTTTTATATTCTAATTATGTCATTTATTATCACTAAGTGCACATTTAATTCTGAAATTAATATGGAAATGTTCACGGCAGCCATTTTACACTTCAGTAATTACAAAGGATAAGTGTATCTTAATACTGTAGAAATATCACTGTCACTATCTGCAAAAGAAAAAGGGTTTTGGTGTGAAAATCATGTAACCAAGTTTCCTGTATCATAAACATATTTCTACATTTGTAACAGACCAAGCAGCTGGAAAATCAGTTGTAAATGGTTTTAATTGTGACAGACCTCCTGCCTTCGGACACAGGGAGGTTTCCCTGTACCAACATGGTGGATGCAGTGACACGTGCATCTGTCAGATTTCAACAAAG